AATAAAACAGAATGCAATGATGTGGAAGTTTCAAATTTCAATATTTTATTCAGAATACAACATAGATGACATATCAAATGTTTAAACTGAGAAAATGTATCATTTTAAGGGAAAAATAAGTTGATTTTAAATTTCATGGCATCAACACATCTCAAAAAAGTTGGGACAAGGCCATGTTTACCACTGTGTGGCATCCCCTCTTCTTTTTATAACAGTCTGCAAATGTCTGGGGACTGAGGAGACAAGTTGCTCAAGTTTAGGAATAGGAATGTTGTCCCATTCTTGTCTAATACAGGCTTCTAGTTGCTCAACTGTCTTAGGTCTTCTTTGTCGCATCTTCCTCTTTATGATGTGCCAAATGTTTTCTATGGGTGAAAGATCTGGACTGCAGGCTGGCCATTTCAGTACCCGGATCCTTCTACGCAGCCATGATGTTGTAATTGATGCAGTATGTGGTCTGGCATTGTCATGTTGGAAAATGCAAGGTCTTCCCTGAAAGAGACGACATCTGTATGGGAGCATATGTTGTTCTAGAACTTGGATATACCTTTCAGCATTGATGGTGCCTTTCCAGATGTGTAAGCTGCCCATGCCACACGCACTCATGCAACCCCATACCATCAGAGATGCAGGCTTCTGAACTGAGCGCTGATAACAACTTGGGTTGTCCTTGTCCTCTTTAGTCCGGATGACATGGCGTCCCAGTTTTCCAAAAAGAACTTCAAATTTTGATTCGTCTGACCACAGAACAGTTTTCCACTTTGCCACAGTCCATTTTAAATGAGCCTTGGCCCAGAGAAAACGCCTGCGCTTCTGGATCATGTTTAGATATGGCTTGTTTTTTGACCTATAGAGTTTTAGCTGGCAACGGCGAATGGCACGGTGGATTGGGTTCACCGACAATGTTTTCTGGAAGTATTCCTGAGCCCATGTTGTGATTTCCATTACAGTAGCATTCCTGTATGTGATGCAGTGCCGTCTAAGGGCCCGAAGATCACGGGCATCCAGTATGGTTTTCCGGCCTTTACCCTTACGCACAGAGATTGTTCCAGATTCTCTGAATCTTTGGATGATATTATGCACTGTAGATGATGATAACTTCAAACTCTTTGCAATTGTTCTCTGAGAAGCTCCTTTCTGATATTGCTCCACTATTTTTCGCTGCAGCATTGGGGGAATTGGTGATCCTCTGCCCATCTTGACTTCTGAGAGACACTGCTACTCTGAGAGGCTCTTTTTATACCCAATTATGTTGCCAATTGACCTAATAAGTTGCAAATTGGTCTTCCAGCTGTTCCTTATATGTACATTTAACTTTTCCGGCCTCTTATTGCTACCTGTCCCAACTTTTTTGGAATGTGTAGCTCTCATGAAATCCAAAATGAGCCAATATTTGGCATGACATTTCAAAATGTCTCACTTTCAACATTTGATATGTTATCTATATTCTATTGTGAATTAAATATAAGTTTATGAGATTTGTAAATTATTCCATTCCTTTTTTACTCATAATTTGTACAGTGTCCCAACTTTTTTGGAATTAGGTTTGTAGTATTATGCCTGGTTAATGATACCAAATGACTAATGGAAGCTTACATGAACAGGTGACGTTGTCTTTCTCCAGATGTTGGTCGTCTGCGCAGGTGCACACATGGCCTGCAGGCGTAGCGAGGCATAGAGCCGAAGGGCTGCAGCCCCCGTGATTTGCTGAACATTGGTTATTACCTGAGGAAAAATGCACGACGATGAATGAAAAGAAAGATAAATGTGATATTTAATGCAGTTTGGAGACAATATACACAATTGAAGATGTCAGATAAACCATAATTTCCATATATTTGTGTTCAAAATCTGTTGGAGTATCTGTTTTGAAACGGCAGCTTCCAGTCATTTAAGTAATTAGCTACGCTATAAGCTACTAACAAAAATTACATAGACATACTACAGTAAATTAAAGTTTCTTAAGTGAATATATTTTATGTACATTTTTATATTAGAGCAATTTTTTCTGTCTGTAAACCAATGAAAATTTTAATTAGTGACAATATTACACTGAAAAATATAAATGTGTACTAAATACAACAATAAAATGTCCTGTTTATATAGCCGAGTCGAAAAATAGTCATGAACAGCATTACTGAACAAAAATATTTTCTGAAATATAAAATTTCAGAATTATTACAATTTAGCATTATTGAATGAAAATATTTAACTAAAATAAATAACTGAATTATAATTAAAAATTTCACAATTTTTCCACCCACTTTTGAAGCAGGACTATTTTGCTTCAAAAAAAGATTAACGAACAGTAGTGCAGTTTCTGTTGGTCAGCGGCTGAATTCATGTAACAAACTTGAAACTGAAAATCAGCAAGGGGAAATCTTTCATCCTGATGGAAAATTCCCAGTCATGTGGATTCATAAAGAATTTTGTGAACATTGGCTAAACAACAGTGAACGTGGCTGCACTTAACTCAAGTTAATTATTGAATCACTTACTTGAACCATCTAAACAAACTTTCCATTCACTAAAAGGATTTGAACATGTTACATGTTAATCACATTGGCTCTTATTTTTTAGTAGTGTTTCATAACAAGTACGCAAGGAACAAATTCATGAGCGTTAAACTAAATGCTTTACCACAGACTTCAACTAACTGCATGTCCAAGCACACCAAATGAAAAATTTTTCCAATGCAAATAGCTCTCTCAGTGAAGTCCAGCATCCGGAGAGGACATGAAAGAACATGCTCAGAGTCTCTTGTCCAATGAATATTGATCTTAGCGCCATTAAAATCAATGATACAAGTATCTGGCATTGACTCCCAGTGAAGAATGCCATCAGTTGGACTCTACAGGACATGTGTCCACTGAATCATCTGCAGAGATTAATGCAGATTAAAGCAGATCACATTAATTGAACAGTGCTTTTCGCTTTTAGTTGCTAAAATGTCATATTGCATTGTGAGTGCAAATTACCATGTATATAAATCATATGTACATAGATAAACATGTCATTTTCGCATTTTAATGCAATTTTAGAAGGAGAAGCAGTGCTCCAGTCACATAGCAGATTTAAAAAAAAAAATAAGTATTTTTTGGGCTCCAGAATGCAATTACATAGAAAAACAAAACCATTCAGACATCTATATCATTTCCTGAGGGAAATGCTAAACATTTTATGTGAATACGAGACTGTAAACTGAAACCACTGACCATTTCATAGAACAACAGTTCTGAGCAAATGATATCAAGCTCAATCTCAATTGTCAAGTCAGGCAAAAAAAATGAGTCATAGCAAGCTAATGTAGCAAAACGCGACAACAACTCTAACTCAACTCCTGAACAGAGCTAAGTGAAGCTTGTAAAATGATAAATAGCGAACATTAGACTATTTGCTTTCCCGAAATGTTTGTAACATGCACTTAGCATTGTAATGCAAATCAACATGTAGCTTATATATTGGGTGACATCTCAAGAAAGAGTTAAACAGTGCATGCTAATTATCAAATCCAAAATTACACACAAATGTTGTACAAGGAATGGTACAACAGCTAGACATGTTCAGTAAAGTTTAGATTTGACAAACAAAGGCTTGTCATTTCCATTAAAATCTGGCAGGTTATTATATATTCAGCACAGTTCCAACTTGGCTGCATTAGCTTAGCGTGTGAATTCACTATCCAGTGTTGAGTGCTTCAGTGGGCAGGTTCAGACCTCTGTGTTGCACATTGGCAGGTGCTTATGACTGCCAGTAGCTCTGATCACAGGTGACGAAATTATGCATCGAACATCTGGTCAACATCAGTAGCGTAAACAGGATTTCCAAGCTGTTAATTAAGAACATCAGCATATGAATTACAACCATCGACCACCTTGGAAAAGTTTGCAACACCTTTACTATCCATTGAAGTATACATTATTGAGACCCATTAGCGGATATTTAAACCAGAATGTTGCTATACCTCCGTTTGTTTGTTTGTTTGTTTGTTTGTTTGTTTGTTTGTTTAGCAGGTCATTGAAGTTTGAGAACAATTCACATTCCTACTGCACTTGAAATGGCTTGGTCAATCCTGGCCTGCCATTGGCTGGCTGTCATTAAGGATGACATTCAGTGTCTCTACCAGATGCAACATACGAGTAACTCTACAAAACAAAGGCTTGTCATTTCCATTAAAATCTGGCAGGTTATTATATATTCAGCACAGTTCCAACTTGGCTGCATTAGCTTAGCGTGTGAATTCACTATCCAGTGTTGAGTGCTTCAGTGGGCAGGTTCAGACCTCTGTGTTGCACATTGGCAGGTGCTTATGACTGCCAGTAGCTCTGATCACAGGTGACGAAGTTATGCATCGAACATCTGGTCAACATCAGTAGCGTAAACAGGATTTCCAAGCTGTTAATTAAGAACATCAGCATATGAATTACAACCATCGACCACCTTGGAAAAGTTTGCAACACCTTTACTATCCATTGAAGTATACATTATTGAGACCCATTAGCGGATATTTAAACCAGAATGTTGCTATACCTCCGTTTGTTTGTTTGTTTAGCAGGTCATTGAAGTTTGAGAACAATTCACATTCCTACTGCACTTGAAATGGCTTGGTCAATCCTGGCCTGCCATTGGCTGGCTGTCATTAAGGATGACATTCAGTGTCTCTAACAGATGCAACATACGAGTAACTCTACAGGAGCTGCCATAGCAATTAACCTTGAGCAAAAGTTGCAGACAAAACCGAACATTCATCATCATCCTCAGTCACCTAGCTCACAGCGCATATGACATGTATAAATAAGAGGTCAGTTATGATCAAAGCCATTTCACGTTGTCAAGAACAAGTTAAGCCACCAAATACAGTGATTTTGTGAAAGAAAATGTGTGCAAAAGTCACCATCAGTGGCACAATTCTGTCTTTGTAAATTCCCCTGTAATTTTGATGTACCCATTTCTGCACAGTAGGGCGATGGAGAAAAATGTCACTAAATTGAGTATAGGTGCCAAAAATCTGCCCAGTTTCTCAGAACAATTGCTCGTCATTGGAGACATAAGTGGAGATATGGATCCAGAACCTCAGAATGACAAATCATACAAATTTCCTGCAAATGCCTTCAAATTAGCCTTTAAAATATGAAAGAAGTTAGGCTTATTTGATCTGAGTCCCAAAAATGCTTGGATCATGAAGTCTTAAGGTTAAAATTACCATTAAATATCCTACACGGGGAATATCCATTGCAAAGCATTTATTCAAATCCAGGGACTTGCCGGTGTGGCATTTGTTTCTAGAATGTTCAGCTGTTTAAAAGGTGAATGCATATGGGGTAATAATATTTAATTTCCATATATCGTACGGTATACCATGTGTGTGCCAACACAGGAATTGGCCTCTGGGCAAAGCTATGGCATGGTGATATATAAAGAATCAGACAACCTCTCAGAACTCAGGCAATTTAAATCTTAGAGTTTCTGGAAGACAGTCAATAGCTAGATATCAATGTCCTTCTATATCATTGCAGCCCTTGGCAAGGCTTCAAGAATTCATTGCGGCTTTAAATCTAAGGCATACATATTCAGTCATGGCCTAATGGTTAGAGAGTCGGACTTGTTCGAGTCCCGGTACCATCAGGGATTGTAGGTGGGGGGAGTGAATGACCAGCGCTCTCTTCCACCCTCAATACCACGACTGAGGTGAGACCCTTGAGAAAGGCACCGAACCCCAAATGCTTCCTGGGTGCCGCAGCAAAAATGGCTTCCCACTGCTCCGGGTGTGTGTTCACGGTGTGTGTGTGTGTGTACGTTCACTACTCACTGCTGTGTGTGTGCACTTAGATGCGATAAATGCAGAGCACAAATTCCGAGTTTGGGACACCATACTTGGCCACACGTCACATCACTACACCTCATGTCACTTCATATTTACCTTTCTGGCTCTGCGGGTCATACACCTGAATCCCGAAGAGAGGAGGTCTTTCTGCTCGCAGTAGGGCAACATCATTGGATGACAAATCCAGACGGAATATTGAGGCGTTCATGTAATCCGTCCAGAATATGTAATTCTGGTAATGCGCAATCCCAAATGGGTGATTCAACTCTTTCCCGCTGTACACCACCTGTGAGAAGTAGATCAAGTTTTTGAGTCACAGGGAAATATTGAGAACAACATAGAGAGGAACGGAGGTATCCAAGAACTAAAGAACTGACTCACTCATTTACTAACCGTTCTGTGGCTGCCGTTGAGGTAGATTTTCTCAATGTGGTCATAGTAGGCATCACACCAGTACATGACGCTGGAGGAGTGGTCCAGAGTGAGGCCGTTGGGCCACAGCATGTTGGATGTGACAAAGATCTGACGGTGAGATCCATCCATCCAGGCTTTCTCTATCCTCCCTCTGCTGTCAATTAACTCATCCTCCTCCCAGTCCGTCCAATACATCCATCTAAGAAACCAATTGAGAATTGATATCTTTAAGATCATGACACCCTGCTGAAGAGGACCAGCAAATACATTTCCATGTTGCTCTATGGTTTAAAACAGATTAGCGTGGTTCTGGTGTCTCAGGTGTGGGAAACTCTGGCCTTGGAAATCTACTGTCCTACAAAGACTAATCAAAAACGGATGCTTGTGATCTTCAAGACTTTGGTTAGATTTTTCAGGTGTGTTTAATTAGGGTTGGAGCTAATGCTGCATTCAATTTACCTAGGAACTCAGATGTCGGAGCTGGGAATGCCTTCACACCCAAGTGGACTGTGTTCCAGTAGAGAAGTCAGAAGACCAAGATGGACACGTCCATTGTTAGCAATACCGATCAATAAAAAACACATAAAAGCTGTATTTTGTACAGATAACTTCATAGTTTCATGTCCACAAATAGAGGTTGGATAGTACTGTGTGCACCACTGAGTTTATTGAGACATAAGTGCTAATATTTTACTACTGTTTCTCTTCTGTTGATGCACTGAGCAACCATATTGGATTCTGAAGTTGGAGTTGTTGCGATTCCTCCTAAATTTTGAGTCGGAGTTCCGACTTGAGAGGGCGTTCCAGATAAAAGTTCCTACTGGGAACTTGGAATTTTCAACTTCAGAGTACAAATGGAATGCAGCATAAAAGTGAATCTCGAGGGCCAGAGTTGCCCATACCTTTTCCAACTGGTAGTGTTTCCAAGATTTACATCAATCCACCATCATGGTGTTTCTGGAAAATATAGTTCACCATGCTTCTCAAGCTAGTTAAGAAGTCCAGTGGTGACACCAACATTCCTTACTGGGCACCATTAAGCAAATGAGAAATTCCCTGAGATGCAGGATTTGAATGCCACAAACCAGAACTAAAAACAGTTAGACTGACTACTGAGTTCCAGCTTTTAAAAAAAATCCAGCTGGGAGATGTGTTTTGGAACATTGTAGCTAGTTTCTAGCTGGTCCAAGCAGGTAATAAGCTGGTAGACCATCTTGGACCAGGAACAAACCGTGTACCAGCTAGCTATACCAGTTCAAGCTGGTCAAATTGGATTTTGGAATGCTGATGTTTTCATAAACTGCTTAGACTAGTCTTTTGTTTTTCCTTCAAGCTTGGTCATAACTTTTAAAAGTCAGTTAGAAAGAGTAGATTGGTCTCATTTGAATCCAAAAAGTAACTTGTTTAACTACTAGTTGGTCAAACTAGTTCTTAAGACACAGTCTTAACATACTGGTTATATTTATGCAACTGGCACCAGGTTGGACCACTTAATAACCAAGTATCACATTCCAAAACACAGCTACCAGCTTAAGCTGGGTTTGCTCAAAGGTGTCTTCTAAAAGACATATCACCGTAAAATAATCTTTAAATGAATTAAGGGAAATATCTACACATAATCATCTAAAAAAGAAGCTTGTATAATTGGATGTTATTATTAATTCATGATTTATTTGGAAGCCAAAAGTTTTTGTTCTGCAAATCTTACAAGGTCCTTTTTTTCCAAGTTCAAATCGCTCACATTTCATAGCATAAACTTAACACTGTGACACGGCCTTGTGCATTTGAACGTAGCCTAACATAACATGACAGAAGGAACTCCCCCGACTCATATTCAGTGACCTGTTGAATAATTCATGAGGCGGGGCTTTGAGTGACAGCACCTGCTGTGAACAGGCAAATCAGGCGAGTGATGGAGATGGAGAGCAAATGCGATCAGGACCTAGAGTCATAACAGCTAATCCTCCATCTTATCATGTTAGCACAGACAGGAAATTAAATGCGTACATGGGATACGAAAGGACAGACACGGCAAAGGACAGTTTTTAGAAAGGGAAATAGAATTTAAAAGGGGAGAGATTAAGCTGGGATAGGTATTGAATATTCAGCATACCGGCAGCTAAAGCTTATAAGCGATGATCAGAAGTTCCAAAAAACTTAGACTGATAGAAATTTTAAACCAATTTCTAGTAACACAATTACAGATTAATTGCAGATTAAAACTGATTACTGGTAATTGTTCCAAAGACTACAGGTCTTATTTGCAATTAAATTATCTGAATTCCAAGACATCAAAGCTATTAAAAACAGACAACCCAATCCAGAAACCCATTATGAGGATAAACATGTCAAGTGTACAGCACATGGTAAGAAGTCACTAAAATATAAGCAGAAACTGGAACCTGCCTTTAAACTTTTAAACCTCTTATGTCAGGCTTCAAAGTTCTGCCAAGGCAGCGATTCGCAGTCATGGAGTCTCCATATTCCCTTTAAGCCTTTCCATCTGAGCAATGACATCGAATGAGGATGTTCGCATTAGCTCCCTTTGACACAATAGCACATCTGCAACTTCCTCTCTTAGATTTAAATAAACAATATTATTGAATAAATGTGTTTTGTAACTCCAAGGTGACACATACATCAGTATAACCATATAGTACCATGTTTTTTGGAGCTATAGTAATAGATTTTTTTTTTTTCACATTTACCATCATATAATACTATGGTTTCTTGGGTGCATACTATGGTAATTCCATGGTATTCTTCAGAATTGTGTTATAATTATTCAGTGCCATATATCAAAGTACCATAATTTTACATGTTTTTTATATAGATGGTTTTCGGATGGTAATACTATACTACTTTGAAATAACTGTTGCTTCTGAAATGTATGTACCATGGTATTTGTGTGGTACTCCAAGGTACTTTCAAGAATACTATGAATTTTTTTTTCCATTATCAGTTTATTATTTCTTACATTGTAATACTTTACATACCATTGTAATACTATGTTTTTGGACAGTTCAACATTGCAAACATGAATTTAAAGCTCCAGCAAGCCAGCAGGTCAATCACCATAGGCCTACGTGACCATGGACCACAAAACCAGTCATAAGGGTCCATTTGTTTTTGAAATTCCATTGATGTATGGCTTGTTAGGATAGGACAATATTTGGCCAAGATACAACTATTTGAAAATCTGGAATCTGAGGGTGCAAAAAAAAAATCTAAATATTGAGAAAATCGCATTTAAAGTTGTCCAAATGCATATTACTAATTAAAAATTAAGTTTTGATCATGGAACATCTTCATATCCTAATGATTTTTGGCATAAAAGAAAAATCGATCATTTTGACCCATGCATACAATGTATTATTGGCTATTGCTGCAAATATACCTGTGCTACTTATGACTGGTTTTGTGGTCAAGGGTCATATATATAGAATATTTAGCAGTTTGTCACACTTGAATTCTTGTAATTAAGTATATTTCACATTAAAATCACTTGTCTAATATTTAACAGAAGTTATGTCAGATTAAACAAATGGTTAAATATTTGAAAATCTGGAATCTGAGGGTGCAAAAAAAAAATCTAAATATTGAGAAAATCGCATTTAAAGTTGTCCAAATGCATATTACTAATTAAAAATTAAGTTTTGATCATGGAACATCTTCATATCCTAATGATTTTTGGCATAAAAGAAAAATCGATCATTTTGACCCATGCATACAATGTATTATTGGCTATTGCTGCAAATATACCTGTGCTACTTATGACTGGTTTTGTGGTCAAGGGTCATATATATAGAATATTTAGCAGTTTGTCACACTTTAATTCTTGTAATTAAGTATATTTCACATTAAAATCACTTGTCTTATAGTTGATACTATCATTTATAGGCTAAAATTTCATTAAATTCATATTAATAGTAGGCCTATACATGGGTAAAAATATAATATAAATGCTCTAAATGAGTTGTTTATATAATATAGATTTATGCTGTATAATATTAAATGAAATGTCTAATATTTATACTTGTAGAAGCAGGCTCAGAGAGTGAGGAAGAGCCCACTGAGCATCAGCCAAATCAGACAGGTAAGACTGTTAAACTGGGGAGTGTTAACCCAAAAGCATCGTTAGCCAAATACGATGTTGTCAATACTGTAGAACTGTTGATTGGCCAGCTGGATTTCTTCAGGAGTTTGGGGGGAAATCAGGATGTTCTTCATAAGCTGTAACAGCAAAGGTGTTACTGCTGTCACAGTTTTGCTGACTGAAGATTTGCTGAGCCCCAGGCCTCTATAAAACCCACCACCTCTATAAAACTCTATAAAACTTCCAACAGCATAATAATGCAGTGTAGCTAACAACTGCAACACTGAACTTAAGGCGTTGTCTCTTCTTGTTGCCCTCTGAAGGTGTGATTTCACAACCTGTAGTAGTTCAAGGATCTTGGCCCTTGGAAGCCAGAATTTTCTTAAGATGGCATCATCAGATAGTGAGTCAAGGGGGGTAAAATGTGTCCCTATGTGTGTATATATATATGTTTATATATATAAACTAAATATTTAACAGAAGTTATGTCAGATTAAACAAATGGTTTAAACTGCAATGGTGGCTGGATGCTGCTCAGGCATTTATATACACTGCCTGACTTCTGCGTCGCCTTCTGTGTCAGAGGACTCAGACGGAGGTGAATCAGGGGAAGAGAGCAATAGACAAGGACCCTTTGGGGATTTTGAAGGCCCAGGCTGGAGAAGGCCTGATGTTGAAGGGCCAGACTGGAGAGGGCCTGATGTTGGAGGCCTGAACTTTGAAGGCAAAGGCCTGGTTGATGCACATGCATCTATACCTCCAAGGATCCCTTCCAATGCTTCAGGCCCCAGGATGGCCAAAACTTTCTCTTCCTCTGTAGTGAGAGGAGGAACTGAATTGATACCCCCACCAGTCCTGTTTGCTTCCCTCTTACATGCCGCATCCCTCCGTTTTGTCACACTTGCGAAGTCCCTCCACTTATTCCTGACTTCTTCTGGGCTTCGTTCGTAAAGCGAGCACCATTTATTTTTTGAGTGATTTCTGCCCAGATTTTCTTTTTGTCAGCATTTGTAATGCTGTTTTTCAGCTTTGAAAATAGCTGGATTTTATTATTTTCCACCTCCTCCAAAAGAACTGCAATTTCATGCTTTGAAAATTGGGGTTTGTGTAATTTTCATTATCACATGGCTGAATGGCAAGGGGACTTGAATAGGAAAAATGAATAGCAACAGATGTCCACAAGAGTACATCAGTTTTTTTTTACTTTTTTCAGTTGTGCTTAAGTAGCCTATCAATATTAAATGAGAAATGGTATTTATATGAAATTGTGAAATTATAGAATTGGGATCAGAAAAGATCCCAATAACTCCGTGTGTGTATGCATATAATTTATTGCAGAACAAATGAATGTTGCGTTATTACTCCACTCCTACGTAACGTCATTTCAAAAGCGTAATTCGAGTCAAAGAAAAGAGAAAATAAAACCAAATTACTGTAGGTGGCGGTATATGCTCATGGCACCAGTCGGCTATTAGATCAAAGAAGAAGAAGAACAACGTCATAACGACAGCTCAAACCAACGTGGTTTAAATGATGGATCTGCGACACAGGTACCATGGTTTCGGGAAACAGTTGTGACTAGCTAGTTCGTTTCCACAACAATGCATCGTACTATGGTGGTTAATCAGCAAGTTACGTAGTTGTACGGGAAACGCACCCCTGGCTGACAGCAGAGGGATATGCTAGAGTGTGATAAAAAGAAAGATAGACATTAAATTATTTGAATGAACAAGTAATTACATTACAACAACATAAATTGAATTAGCACTAAGCCTAACAATTGTATTTACAATATGACTGTAAAAGGTTTGTTATTCATTCTCTATATTAAGATGAAACTGCCCCAGAGTCAACTCAACAAAGTAAAAGTGAAGGTCTTGGAACTGAGCCAGAGACAGAAAATGTTCAGATTGAGAAAGAAAGGCAATACCATGAGACAGAGAGGGAGAGACAGAGGCAGAACAGGAAGATATGGAGAGACAGAGGCAGAACAGGAAGATATGGAGAGTGAGGCAGCCATTTAACAAACACCCACCCCCTTAGTGCCTTAGTTTTTTTGGTTTGGGCCACTGCCCCTCAAAATGTCTGTGCATGGCCCTGGTTCAAAGTATGTAAATACTGTGGTAGTATAGCACCATAATATATAGTACCATGGTATTGTCATCTAATACCACCACAGTGCTTTTTGTTAATGAAACCAGAGGAAGCACAGGTTTGCTGAAATTTCTTGATGAAATCTCTAAGAGAAAAAGGGCAAACATCCCGCCCCAATGCACTTTAAAAGGCTGGATTTCATCCAAGGCTTTAGCAGACTGAAATCTTTTAAATGCTTCTGTAAGCAGGAAAGGTATTATGGGCTTACCCGTTTAGAGGATCCACAACAATGGCCCTGGGATGGGACATATTGCCTTCTAAAAGCGTTCTCCTGGTCTGCGAGGGCCGGTCCAGCCCGGCCACACTGATGGTCTTTCTATAACCGTCATTTGTCCAGAACAGGTTATTACCGATCCAGTCTACTGAAATACCCTCAACATTATCCAGCTCTGGAGAAAGAGAGAGCAGAAAGAAATTGAGAAAATGTTGTTCTTTTAGCATGATAACATCAAAGACAGCTCAATTAATCACTGTCCTCCTCTAATTCTTCCCAGTGAAATTATGCGTATCGACCAGCGAGCTTCCCCGATGATAGAACTGCACAAAATGTATGATAAATAACTTCCCATTTGGAAAACAACGGCAACAGTATTGCTCAAGTACAGGTGGCCTGATTCTACCGTACCACGCCACATGGATGCACAGATGATTACCGAGCCAAAGTGAAAATGAGTTTGTTAGAGAATATTTAAGACCTTTTTACAAAATTAAATTGTGGTACGGCTCAACAGACTTATACAAAATCCAACATTAATCTCTAAGAAGTCATGATGAACATACCATCCTTAAGGATCGTTTCCCGAGCAGTTCCGTCAATCTTCTGCCGTCCAATTAGGAAGCTTGTGGTGTCGGCAAAATAGATGTAGCTACTCTCTGCATGGAAATCCAGCGCTCTGGGACTCACGAGCCCTTCGATTTGAATCAAATGTTCATCTCCAGACTTGACATTCATATCCAGACCTCGGATAACCCCAGGTCGTCCTTTCCCGTAAAACAGGAACACCTGAAAGATACTTTTTTCGATACCAATTTTATGAAATCAATTTTAACAAGATTACATTATCTAAAAAAAAAAAACTTTTTTAATTTTATTTTTCAGCTTGTTGATGTTTATACAAACTCAGAGACTCATCTCCCGAGCTACTGCACAAAAGGAACAAAATGTAACCAACACAATAAATCAGTGCAAATAGTTTTAATAAAGCTCAAATAGTCTTCAGTTTACACATCTGTTAGGCTACATTTACACTAGTGCGTGTTCGTTTTAAAACGCATAGCTCAGACAGAATCATGATTTCTATTTATTTTCCACTGATTTACTGATGAGCATTAGCAGCTTAACACGCACATAATACGCGCTTTCGGTCGTGTAGTATGAACGGACATCTGCATATGATCGGAACTCCACGCAGCTCTCTATTGGAAATTAATGACTGAATGACCGGTTTGTCGCTTGTCGTTTGTCGGAGATAGTGGAAAGCTGGCTTGAAACACAGTGGAAACGCCACGAGATCGAGATTCGGCAGAAGCTGCGATTGTCATGCGTATCTTTCAGTGAAGCACGGTTCTGTGATCAGCAGTAAATCTCCATCCAAAGGCCAACGCGCACTCTCTCTCGCGCGCTGAAACTCCAAATACGCCTCGCAGAAGAAACCCAGGAAATGCCTATCGCTGCAGCTAAATAAACAGAAGATTCAACTGCTTTCATTGATTAAACGTCACGACTACGGCAATATACGGTTTATCTGAGTTCTTATTATTATATTTTTCATTAAAATAAAGTATATTTATAATGCAATGCCTTTATCACTGCTTAAATACTATGAAATATGTTGCGTGCCTTATTCTGTGTAAGAAGCCACATCATCTCACAGAAGGATTTATTTCAAACACTCGACTGACATTATGAAGTGAGTTTGGAGTAAAAATATGTTATTAAATGTGGTATTTTCACATGCTTTCAGATGGAGCAGCATTTACTTCACAGAGCCGTAGTTCACTGAGAAGCTATGCAAACAGCTGTCATTATCGCAAACGATTTCTTCGATTTTAGAATCACGCAATAAAATCGTCTGCGATTTTTTTGCCTAACTTGTCAGTGAACTATGGCTCTGTGTAGTAAATTCTGCTCCATCTGAAAGCACGTGATGATGATTTCCTGCTGATTACAGAACCAGCATTACTATAAAAATGCGCATGACAATCGCATTCGATTAATCGTGCAGCCCTAATTCGCACTACAGCCTCACGTGTGCGCCACATCTCTGAGTGTAACCGGTGTAAACTAGTAGGTGTGTTCGATTTGACGTGAACTGACTGTGCAGACCGATCGGTGTATTACAGTACCACGAGAGCTAAAGAGAGGATGTCAAACACTGATCGATCTGCGTCACACCTCTTCTAGTCGAACACACCGGCTAGTGCTGCAGGCTTATTGGCTCACTGACACTGATGAGATTAACCCCTTTAGGTATGGAAATTTGGTACCGAACGACGAGACGTTTTTCGATACTCGATGGTATCGAGGCATTTCTGTCGGTGCTTAAAAAGTATTGAACTCGATACCCAGCCCTAGTAAAAACTGTAATACTGTGAAATATTATTACAATTTAAATTACTAGGTCATTTATACCTGTGATGCCAATGCTGAATTTTCAGCAGCCATTTCTCCAGTCCTCAGTGTTACATGATCCTAAGTGGCCGGTTGTTGGCTAGAATAAGATGCAATGTGTACCAAATCTAACACTGATCAATCAAAGGTCTGACTGTGTGAGACTAAATTGGGGGTTACAGGAAAGTCGTTCCAGGACCAACAAAGATTGCTGAATTCACAGTCACCTTTACTGCATTCAAATTCAAGCCAGCACAGGAATTAAATCTAATAACCAGCAAAAGCACTGAACACTCACAAAAAGGCCTACAACACTTGAAAAGCATGAAAAAACTTCTGAAAACTATACATATCATATAAACCATGAACACCTGCACACAGGCACTTTCCAAAAGGGATAGGAGGAATTTGTAAAACTCTTTCCTAAGTATCGCATCGGGGTATTAGTTAACACCAGATGTCTCATAATGCTGATAAAAAGCCTCAGATGGATTATCTATTGGTTTCCGGGGGGGAAAAAAAAACCCCAAAAATTGACAGTGCCCTTGGCCTGTACTATGAACTATGGATGAAATTTATACTGAATTTATGAAGCTATGAATTTTGTATCACCATACTTTTGGGCCCGTTCGAGGGACGAGGGACAGAGGCCAAACTTTATAGTCTTTAAAATAAACTGCTTTAAGAGTTATTCAAAGGAGCATCATTTATCACAGCTTTACTGCGGACTATTAAGGCAGCTGGGTAAAATATATGCAATAACTTCTTCTATATAGTTTAGTTGAATAGAGGTCAACAATCTTTGCCTGTCTAGACTTTTTTATTCTGGTCTGGACCAGCATAAACAAGATGTTCACCAGCTAACTGGAGATTCACATGCAAACGGCAACACATCTTGTGCTGTGTCAGAATATGCCTACTTCCATACTATACAGTATACAAAACTCAGCACACAAAAAGTGTAGTATGTCCGAACTCGAAGTATGTGAAAAACAGCACGCCAAAAGAGTAGAATATACGGTAACATTAACAGTAAGCCAATATTCATAGTTTGCAAAAAAAACAGTGCACCACAAGAGTAGTATGTTCGAATTCATAGAATTTGAAAAATAGTACACCAAAAGAGTAGTATGTACACCAATATTAACAGTAAACCAATATTTGTAGTTTTAAAAAAATAGGGTGCCAAAAAAATAGTATGTCCAAATTCATAGTATTTGAAAAACAATACGCCAAGTATTGCATGTCCGAATTCACCTAGTACGCGAAAAGAGCAGCATGTCCGAATTCATAGTATTTGAGAAATTGTACGCCAAAAGAGTAGTATGTCTGAATTCATATTATTCAAAAAAAGTATGCCAAAAGAGTGTATGTCAATATTAACAGTACGCCAATATTTGTATTTTCAAAAATAGTGTGCCAAAAATGTAGCATGTCCAAATTCATAGTATTTGAAAAACAGTATGCCAAAAGAGTAGAATGTGCACCAATATTAACAGTATGCCAATATTCGTAGTTTTCAAAAAACAGTGTGTCAAAAAATGAGTATGTCCAAATTCATAATATTTGAAAAATAGTACCCCAAATGTCTAGAATGTCCAAATTCATAGTATTTGAAAAACAGTATGCCAAAAGAGTAGAATGTGCACCAATATTAACAGTATGCCAATATTCTTAGTTTTCAAAAAACAGTGTGTCAAAAAATGAGTACGTCCAAATTCATAATATTTGAAAAACAGTACGCCAAAAGAGTAGTATGTCAGAAATTTTAGAACTAATATTTAATCATTTGTTGATGAAAATTCTGGATTCTGAATTGAGCATTCGATGGACACTTTAATATCCCAAGAAGCCACAGGAGAGAAGTGAATGGCAGTGAAGCGACGCAACTGGTAGGTCACATGACGGTGATAACATGGCGGATGTAGTATGTTCGAATTTCATTCATACTACCCATTTTCATACTACGCACGTACATACTATGTACTTTTACATACTTCATACTTATTTTGGAATGAAGATCATGGATTCAAAAAGAAGAAACCAAGATTGAGCACATCTTACCGAGTTTCCTTGGATGACCATTTGTCTGTTCTTGCCATTGTAATCCACAACTTCGATAAAATCCAGATAAGCATCTGTCCAGTAGACAAGCTTCTTAACCAAGTCCAATGTCACGGCAGTCGGCTGTTCAGTTTTATACTCCACAATCCTGGTTCGGTTGGTGCCGTCCATGTTGCAGCGCTCCACCTTGGCTACCGTCCCATAGTCCGTGAAAAAGAGTTTTCTGAGGGGCAAGAACAGATTAGTTTTAAAACAGAATCTACAAACTATCTGACGTAAAAGAAATCAAAAGTCAAGGCCATTTAAGATTTAATCAATCCACTCATACCCATTATTTTTCTATTCTTCAAAATATTGTGCCATAGCTGAATCCTTGCAGCAGCAACAGTGCAATTAAACTGAGCCACCCTGAGCAAAACCTGAATGAATTGGCCGCAGTATGATATTTCTCTTTATACTAACACATCCTGACAGTAATAAACAGAAGATTCAACTGCTTTCATTGATTAAACGTCACGACTACGGCAATATACGGTTTATCTGAGTTCTTATTATTATATTTTTCATTAAAATAAAGTATATTTATAATGCAATGCCTTTATCACTGCTTAAATACTATGAAATATGTTGCGTGCCTTATTCTGTGTAAGAAGCCACATCATCTCACAGAAGGATTTATTTCAAACACTCGACTGACATTATGAAGTGAGTTTGGAGTAAAAATATGTTATTAAATGTGGTATTTTCACATGCTTTCAGATGGAGCAGCATTTACTTCACAGAGCCGTAGTTCACTGAGAAGCTATGCAAACAGCTGTCATTATCGCAAACGATTTCTTCGATTTTAGAATCACGCAATAAAATCGTCTGCGATTTTTTTGCCTAACTTGTCAGTGAACTATGGCTCTGTGTAGTAAATTCTGCTCCATCTGAAAGCACGTGATGATGATTTCCTGCTGATTACAGAACCAGCATTACTATAAAAATGCGCATGACAATCGCATTCGATTAATCGTGCAGCCCTAATTCACACTACAGCCTCACGTGTGCGCCACATCTCTGAGTGTAACCGGTGTAAACTAGTAGGTGTGTTCGATTTGACGTGAACTGACTGTGCAGACCGATCGGTGTATTACAGTACCACGAGAGCTAAAGAGAGGATGTCAAACACTGATCGATCTGCGTCACACCTCTTCTAGTCGAACACACCAGCTAGTGCTGCAGGCTTATTGGCTCACTGACGCTGATGAGATTAACCCCTTTAGGTATGGAAATTTGGTACCGAACGACGAGACGTTTTTCGATACTCGATGGTATCGAGGCATTTCTGTCGGTGCTTAAAAAGTATTGAACTCGATACCCAGCCCTAGTAAAAACTGTAATACTGTGAAATATTATTACAATTTAAATTACTAGGTCATTTATACCTGTGATGCCAATGCTGAATTTTCAGCAGCCATTTCTCCAGTCCTCAGTGTTACATGATCCTAAGTGGCCGGTTGTTGGCTAGAATAAGATGCAATGTGTACCAAATCTAACACTGATCAATCAAAGGTCTGACTGTGTGAGACTAAATTGGGGGTTACAGGAAAGTCGTTCCAGGACCAACAAAGATTGCTGAATTCACAGTCACCTTTACTGCATTCAAATTCAAGCCAGCACAGGAATTAAATCTAATAACCAGCAAAAGCACTGAACACTCACAAAAAGGCCTACAACACTTGAAAAGCATGAAAAAACTTCTGAAAACTATACAAATCATATAAACCATGAACACCTGCACACAGGCACTTTCCAAAAGGGATAGGAGGAATTTGTAAAACTCTTTCCTAAGTATCGCATCGGGGTATTAGTTAACACCAGATGTCTCATAATGCTGATAAAAAGCCTCAGATGGATTATCTATTGTTTTCCGGGGGGAAAAAAAAAAAAAAAATTGACAGTGCCCTTGGCCTGTACTATGAACTATGGATGAAATTTATACTGAATTTATGAAGCTATGAATTTTGTATCACCATACTTTTGGGCCCGTTCGAGGGACGAGGGACAGAGGCCAAACTTTATAGTCTTTAAAATAAACTGCTTTAAGAGTTATTCAAAGGAGCATCATTTATCACAGCTTTACTGCGGACTATTAAGGCAGCTGGGTAAAATATATGCAATAACTTCTTCTATATAGTTTAGTTGAATAGAGGTCAACAATCTTTGCCTGTCTAGACTTTTTTATTCTGGTCTGGACCAGCATAAACAAGATGTTCACCAGCTAACTGGAGATTCACATGCAAACGGCAACACATCTTGTGCTGTGTCAGAATATGCCTACTTCCATACTATACAGTATACAAAACTCAGCACACAAAAAGTGTAGTATGTCCGAACTCGAAGTATGTGAAAAACAGTACGCCAAAAGAGTAGAATATACGGTAACATTAACAGTAAGCCAATATTCATAGTTTGCAGGTCCTCGTCGTCTGAAAGCAGCAAACTGGCCCCAACAGCATGCACAACTCAGCACTGCATACAAATGAATGTTTATCAAGAGACCAAAGAGTTTCTCACGTCACAGACGCATAGATGATTCGACATTAGATAAGGATGATTTATTCACTCCTATGAAAAATTCAACTGAGAGTCTCCTTCAGGACGTGTGATCATTTTAAGATGGTACAAATAGCTAAATGTCTTTGCATAGGTTAATGAACTATGAACTATTTGTTTGGAAAGGGTTCTAAAGGGTCATTTTATTGACCTTTTATCAGTTCTTTAAACTTCAGTGACCATGTAACGAAAGTACGACAAAAAAATGTATTCACTCATTCAGGTTTTTTTTTTCTTTTTTTTATGTAGCAAATGGCCTAAATAATAATAATATTATTAATAATAATAATGATGATGATGTTAAACTGTTAAAATTATAATAATATTTAAAATATTTAATAAACTACTGCTTATGAAGATATTATCATTATTAGTAGTATTGTTATTATTATTATTATATTTAGTATTATTATTGATACTTGTTATTTACTTTATTTAATTTATAATTGCATTACATAATATGTTACATTTAAATTACATTAATTTACATGAAAGGTCATTTATCACAATAATAATAATAATAAAAATAATTTTATACTTATTTGCTTGAAATGTATTTAATTAAATTATGTGATACATTAAATTTAGATTTAATTGCTTTAAATGAAAGGTACTTTATAATAATAATAATAATATTTAAACTATTGATGATGATGATTATGACACTAGTTATTAACTTTTTTTTATTTCCATATCTAAATTGTGTGAAACATCAAATTTAAATACAATTACGTAAAAGGTACTTTAACACAATAATAAGAAGAATGGTGATATAATAATAATAATAATAATAATAATAATAATAATAATAATAATAATACAATATAGTAATACATGTTATAAATTAAATATTTATTAAATGTAAAAAATTCCTTATTATTATTATTATTATTATTATTATTATTATGTACTAATTAAATTAAATTATTTACAAATGAAAGATGCTTCTTATTCTTGCCCGATCATATTATTTTTGTCACAAACTGATGGAAGCAAACCAGTTTTTTGTAAAGCTAATACTAGTAAAGATAATATTACAAATGGATAGTTCAGACTCACAATTCATACATATATCCATGTACATATACTATTCATATATGAACTGTCAATCACAGTACAATCACAATGAATATGTACAATGACAGCTATGCGTCCAGTATGTTTTTTAATAGTAATAGCAGTATTTTTTTTAAATGTATCCATGCCAGTTTCACCAACTAATGCTCATCTTATATATACGGCCAGCTCTAAATTAAGAAACCTAATGCTTGTCTTTGCAAGTGTACCCCATGATTGGATCCAACGCTAGGCCTTTAGGGTTCTGGATGTCCAGGTCAATGATGGTGGCACATGCATCTCCCTGTTCACTGCACACGAATATCCGGTCGTTCACTCTGTCTACGAAGTAGAAGTTTCCTGTCAACCAGTCGATGGCCATATGCTCCACATCTAGATGGAGGAAACCAATCGTTTTAGACATGAGTCATCAGAGTTTGTATCTGATAGTTAGAAACAATTAAAAATTCATGCCTTCTTCAAAAAAGCAACAACCGACTTGAAATGCACACTTGACTCATTCAACCTTGTAACATTAAACACTTCATTAGAAGATCATTAAACACGTCAAGAGGTAAAAGTAATGAAAAAAAGAGACTAATGAGAAAATTTATGGACATTAAACACAACACTAAAGTTCATAAAAACTTCAAAGGGCATAAGTTTGCTCTTGCTCTGACTTAATCAACAAAGTTGCAAAATATTCCTTAACTTGTGTACTTACTTTGCAGGTTCTGACCTATCCGTATCTGGCGTTTTTCTGAAAAGCCTTTGAGTTTGGTAATGCGGGCACACCACAGCTGACCTGTATCCTGTGCCAATGAGAGCCAACAGAGTGACTCTTCTCTATAAATAAAGTCCAATATTTGAGTCCCATTTGTCTCCATGGACTTGATATTTGGCATAGATGATCCATTGAGGTAAACAACTGATATATAATTCATATTTGCTGTCAACAGAACCGGAGGTTTATCACCAGGATCTGAAAGAGGGAACACAAAATGCATAAAGGTCCTTAGAGCTATTCATAATAAATATTTCCTGTTAAATCTAAATTAAAGGGGTCATATGATGCGATTTCAAGTTTTCCTTTCTCTTTGGAGTGTTACAAGCGGTTCATGAATAGATAAGGTCCCTAAAGTTGCAAAGACTAAAGTCTCAAACCCAAAGAGATATTCTTTAAAAAAGTAAAGATTCGTCGACGCCCTCCTAAAACGCCTCATTTAAACACGCCCCCACATGTCTACATCACTGTGTGGGAAGATTTGCATAACGCCGCCCAAATGTATATGCAAAGAAAGAAGGCGTAACTTTGATTCTCGCTGTAGTATTGTTGCCGCCGCCACCGCCACTGTGTGTTTTGTTATGAAAACGAAACTACTTTGTTTGGTCTTCCAAAAGAGGACACAACTAGAAATCAGTGGTTAAGTTATATTTACAACACTGTTCCAGAACAGTTCAAACCAAATATTCAGATGTGTGCAACGCATTTTACGGAGGACGAGGACTGTTTCCTGGGAGAGTAGCCTACAATGCCGGTGTTCCGGTGAATTCAGTTCCCCTGTTTCCCCTTCGGCGCGCATGCTGACCCTCTACAGTCTATGATGCTGACAAATAAATCTGACTCACAGACTGTAAGTACGTTTTCATATTTAAAGGATTTGCCACTGATGATTCAAACGCGAGTTTTGAGCAGTGTACAGTAGGGCTTGTTGTTTGTTGTTTCTCCGATCACAAATGCAGAAATGGTTTTATGTTTAGACGGCGCGATGCAATGCAACGCGTAAAAAGACAGTATAAGCCATTATAATCAGTAATTATGTCCCCACTGGATGCAACAAATACCTCGTACGTAATGGGTTTTATTGGTTTTGTCTCGTCGCGCCGGGACATGGCATCACAGTATGGTAAGGGGTGTAACATTTATGTCACATGCTTGAGGTATTCGGCCAATCAGAGCACACCTCGCTTTTCAGAACAATGAGCTTTGTAAAAATCTATGCATTTCAGAAAGGCAGGGCATAGAGGAGAAACAATAAATGTACAGTATGTGTTTCCTTAAACTGCATAAACACATTTCATTACACAAAAAATACACAAAATAATGTTATTTTTCAGCAACGTCATATGACCCCTTTAAGCAATTATTTACGTTAAACATATTTAAGCACAGTTTATGTTGGGAACTTTCGGTACTGTGGACATTTAGATGATAAATCCTAAACTAAAAAAAATAAAGTCGAAAATTCATTGTTATTTTTGTAATTTTTCTGAACCAACAAATGTCATTTCTACCACATTTCAAATGCTGCATTATGTGGTGTAATTGACAGCAGTGGCAACAACATTTTAAACACTTATATGTGACCCTGGACCACAAAACCAGTCTTAAGTAGCTTGGGTATATTTGTAGCAATAGCTACAATAGCAAAATACATTGCATAGTGTCACGAATTCGGTTCATGGACTTCCGTTTATTCACCACCAGATGTCCCACTTTCCATTACATTGACTCTCGCACTACACAAACTGTTGCATAGCACCCCGGACTACATTTCCCATCATTCTTTGCACAATTTGCACACTGCCCTGATTGCACACAGCTGTTTCTAATTACCTCATTCACTATATAACACCCACTCTAACCACCTTTCTCTGCTGAGTATTGTTTAGCCTGTACCCCTTTCCGAGTCTCCGTGTTTTCCTTGTTTTGCCTTGCCTGTTTTTGCGGTTTTTGATCTTTGCCTGTTTTCCTGGTTTTTTCCCTCTCGTCTCGCCCCTGTGATTCTGTCTGCCGATCGGTGACCTATGCTAGCCCTAGGACTATTCTTGTACCTGTTTGCCATTGTTTGACCCTGCCTGTTTACCACGTCTCTCTATTAAAAGCTTGCAGATGGATCCACACGTCTCACGTCTCGTCAGC